GGAAAAGAAAGATCCCAGATGATAGCTCTGCAACAGGTTGAGAGTCACCTGTCTAGATTGCATCAGATGAGAAGGCTACAGGAGACATTGTCCAGCAGCCTGGACAAATGGGTAAATGGGTAAAATACATGATGCACTGGAATGTTTTGAGAGGAAATTTAGACAAATAGCTAAGAGCCTGGGTTTGAATAATGATCATTAGAAAACTAAGACAGCAAACAAACAAAAAGTCAATTACTAACCCCTAAGAAAACAAAATACTATACAGAAAAGGAAAATAGTCATGGTTTACTGTATGCCTCAGCTCCAAATAGCACTTTCATTGTCATAATAATATAAAAGATGAACAATGAGTCAGGTACAGTGACTCACGTCTGTAATCCTAGCACTTTGAGAGGCCAAGGTGGGCAGATCATGAGGTCAGGAGTTGAAGACTAGCCTGGCCAGCATGATGAAACCCCATCTTTACCAAAAATAGAAAAATCAACCAGAGAATGGTGGCATGTACCTGTAGTCCCAGCTATTCTGGAGGCTGAGGCAGGAGAATCACTTGAACCCAGGAGGCAGAGATTGCAGTGAGCCGAGATCACGCTACTGCACTCTAGCCTGATGATGACAGAGCTAGACTCCATCTCAAAAAAAAAAAAAAAAAAAAAAAAAGCTGAACAATGATCTAATCGTGTATTTAGGAGATGACCCAGCTAGGGAAAAGGAAAGGGTGGAGAGTAGAGGTAGGATTCGTAACAGAGATTTTCCCAAGCCAAGAGATATTGGTGGCTGTGGAGTCCTCAGATTTCACAAGGAAGAGATAGACTTTGGGGAAATGGCTGTGATGTGTCTGGGAACATTCTGTCCTAGACACAGAGTTCTCAGTTATGGCACCAGAGCCACTAGATCATGATGGAGAGGACATTAGAGACCCTTCTCATATTTCCTAGGTATCAATGGGCCTTGGGATTCATGGGGTACCTTATGAAAGGGAGGCATGCCAAGCAATGCTTAAGGCTGATTTTGCTCCTGCAGGATATGGGCTAGAATCAGACATAGCCTGATTTAAAGGAAATGAAGCAAGTGACATTTTGCACATTTGGGTTTGGTAGCTACAAATCCATATTTACTATGGGAGAAAAGGGTCTTTATGGAAATGGTTTGATTGTCTGTGTGGCAACTGACTTTAAAATCAGTTGTATACAGTGTGATGTGCACGTACAAGTTAAATACACCTTATATCCTAGAGGTGATCAACATAAACAGAGCCCACATGAAAAGTGACTTGAGTAGTTAACTGGCATTTAAAATTTTTATGTCAATATCAGAAAGTGTGTTAATTAGCATAAAATATATTAGAGTTTTGCTTACTTTTTGGCAGAAATGACTGATTCTGAAGATTGAGAATTAGAAGTATTGTACAGGTGTTGTCATTCCTACATGAAGGAAGCAGAAGAATGTAGCAAGCTCAGGTCTCTAATGCCAGGAGTGGGGCTTTCAGTGACCAGAGCTCTCTGGGTCCTCTGCATATCCCTCCACTGTCAACTGATTCGATAGAGGCTGGGCTGGTCCTAGCATTAGCATATCCTTGAATCTGCCTTTGGGCGTGACTTCTGTGCAAAGACAGAAAGGGGAAGTTTCTGGTCTACATAGCCAACATGTAGTCTTGATAATAAATCATTGCTTGTTTGGAATAATTTGGTCTGAGCCTTACTTTTATTGTAAAACACTACTTGTAGGTGGCAGATAGGGCATAGGACCTTTAGGCCTCATCTCGCTCTAACCATGGGAGGCTACCAAAGACTCTGACATTTGGCAAATGGCCACATTTGCAGAGCTCTTATTGCAAGAGAGGTGTTCCTAAATCTGAGTTCTAACATTACCCTTTTTCTAACTCCAGAACCCCATTGCGAGGCAGCCCCCTTCACCTGGAGACTCACCCTCCCCTAGACTAATGAGTGAAAGTGGGTGGGATTAGTATTAGGTTGGTGCAAAAGCAATTGTGGTTTTTGCCAAAGTTGTGGCAAAGGCTGGAATTGCCTTTGCACCAACCTAACCACTGGGCCATAGGAAGGCACCAAAAATACCTAGCTGGTGGCTCTGGCATGACTTTTTGCTTAAGCTTAGTGGCTAAATTCTCATCCTGTCCCTAATGACCAAGGTCCTTCCTCATACCCCAGGTTCAGTTTGCTACAGACTGTCTAGTCTCCTTGAACTTCGAATCTTGGCTTTAGCTCCTGCTGACAACCTCATACCCACAGTGCTGGGCCACTGAACTGCTTTATACCAGTCTCTCAGTGGCCTGGAGCCCAGACCCTGAACCTAAGTCATATGGCCAGCCCAGACCCTAACTTCAAGGCTTCCTTATGCCAGTCAGGTACCTGCCTTTCTGCCTATTGCCTGGAGCTGAGTCCCCTGCATTCTTCAATTTCATAGAGTTGACTGAAGATTAAATGAGTTAATGTATGAAACTCCTTGGCAAATACTAAGCATTATCTTTATTGGTCAATTTCTTCTGACAGCTTTTGGCAGGTTTCTTAACTCTTAGTGACTCAGTTTTCTCATCTGTAAACTGGGAATAATAATAGTACCTGCCTCCTGGGATAGGTGTAAGGGTTGGATGAGTTAAGATTCTGTAGTGGGTTGAGTAATGTCCCCTCCAAAAAAGATATACCCACCTCCTAACCTCCAGAACCTGTGAATATTACCTTATATGACAAAAGTTGTGATGAAGTTAAGGATCTTGAGAGAAGGCACTTATCTGGATTTTCTGGGTGAGCCCTAAAGGCAATCCCATGTATCCTTACAAAACAGATACTCACCATGACTGTAATCCCAGCACTTTGGGAGGCTGGGGCAGGTGGGTCATGAGGTCAGGAGATCGAGACCATCCTGGCCAACATGGTGAAACCCTGTCTCCACTAAAAATAAAAAAATTAGCTGGGCGTGGTGGTGTGCACCTGTAGTCCCAGCTACTCAGGAGGCTGAGGCAGGATAATTGCTTGAACCTGGGAGGCAGAGGTTGCAGTGAGCCAAGATCACGCCACTGCACTTCAGCCTGGCAACACAGCGAGACGCCATCTAAAAAAAGAAAAGAAAAAAGCAGATACCCAGAGGAGAAGACATATGAAGAGGAGAAGGTAATTTGAGGTAATCTGATCAAGGAAGCAGAGAATGGAGTGATGTAACCACCAGCAAGGAACATCTGAGCCACCAATGGCTGGAGCAAGTAAGGAAAATATTCTCCCACAGAGCCTTCCGAGAGAGTGCAGCTCTGACAACCTCTTACTTTCAGATTTCTGCCCTCCAGAACTGTAAGAAATTAAACTTCTGTTGTCTTAAGCCACCTAGTCTGTGGCAATTTATTACAGCAGCCACCAGATACTAATACACATGTATAACACCCTGACACAGAGGAAGGATTCATTTTGTTGGTTGATTTATTCTAAAAGTAAGTATATCTGTTCTAATGATGTTATTAATAATAATACTTCAGGAGCATTTTTCTCATCCAAGAAAATAGGCACCTTCCATGCGTGCATGGAAGGAGTATTTGAAGAGGGAAGGCCAGATGGGATACACAAGGAAGCAAGAGAGGGCTCTGGGACACGACTTCAGGTTTGGAATTTAAATGGATACCATTATAATTGTACCAATAATAGGAATATACGAATGTAGTCTGGTAAAAGTCAGGATCTTTAATAGTCCACACTGGGTTGTGGCTGGCCAGGGCATTAGTCGTTAAACTTCCTCCTTCAATCCACAGTTTCTTTGAGGGGGATGTACACTATGATTCCACAGGGACATATAACCTTATTTGGATTTTTGGACAAGTTGCTTTGCCCCTTTTATGGCATTGCATTTTCCAAGTCTCTCCTGAGTTTTCACCTGATCGTATTTTTTTTTTTAACTCAAGAAAAACATATCTGCATCACTGAGAGGAGGGATTCAGGAGGCAATGTTTCTGAGGATTCTGAGTTTTGGAGCATCTATTGCCAAGCCTATGGCAGGAATGTTGCCCAGATGCTGGTGTGCCTCTTAGAGGGTTGAGGAGAGGAGGCAGACCCTGGGAAATCTGACTGTGAAACACTGAGAACAAGAATGTGGGCAGACCATTCTGATGGTAAGGAAGACAGCCTATAGGACCCCTGCCAAGCCACTCTAATTTTGTCCTCCCCCACCACTATGATTTCAGAAACACTGGTGCAAGAGAGGCCAAGAGAGTGGCACTTTTAATTCAGTTATTTCTACTCCTGAGTCATTCAGATCCTCAAAGCGGCCCCAACCCTAGGGTGCCATGATACACTAATCTCTTGGGATGTTTCTAAGGTTTAATCTTTTCAAAAGCCTGGTAATTGTGTTTTCTTGCTCTGTGCTGTCCAACATGGAAGCCACTAGCCATATGTGGCTATTTAAATATAAGCTAATTGAAATTAGCTAAAAATTCAAATTCAGTTCTTTGGTCACACTGGCCATGTTTCAAGTGTCCACTAGCCACATGTGGGTAGAGGCTACCATATTGGACAGTACAGATAGGGCATTTATATTGTTGCAGAAAGTAAAGCAATTGACAGTCATGTTCTAGTTATCCAAGGTGTAAGTTGAAAATATCAGAATTATGGATAGATCCGACAGGAAACTTATGTCTATGACTAACCACTTACTCTCACTACCTTCAACTAATGAGCACTACAGGCATCTGCAGTGACCCTATCTAAAAATACATACATATAGCTGGGTGCAGTGGTATGCACCTGTTAGTCCCAGGTAGTCAGAAGGCGAAGGCAGGAGGATGGCTTGAGCCCAGGGGTTTGAGGCTGCAGTGAGCTATGATCATGCTTGTGAATAGCCAGTGCACTCCAGCCTGGGCAACATTACAAGACCCTGTCTTTAAACAAAACCAAAACCAAAACCAGACATATATACATATAGAATAAAGAGAACACCATGCTTGTGGAAATTCTATACATTTTTAAAAAGTAATCATCATGTCATTTTTAGTCTCTCTTTCAGAGTATGTTATTTATTGTAAGACATCATTTTTATTAAATACACTGTAGTACAAGAGACTTTCCATGTCAGGTTGAGAGAAGCTGGTCACATGATTTACAAACAAAACTTTTTTTTTTTTAAACACTGTATTCAGGTGTCACTTTGAAATCAGCCAAGATGCAGTGGGTCTTAGTAAAGCAATGGACCTCAAAACAGATTGCAAAACAAGAACTGGTATTAGCACAGAGACATCACATGAAAAGGAAGAGAAACCAAATGAAAAGGAGAGTTCCAAATACCAGGTCACAATTGAAGGGGAAATATATCTGCAGAGAGATATGGAAATGTGTGTGTACGGCCTGGATATATACAAACATCTCTCCAGATACAGAAGCGAACGCTGAATGTCCACATCTCCAGGCAGATTTGTAAGTTATAGGGATTGATTGAAGAACACAGGGAGCTATAGTTCACCATAATTTGGTCATGTGTCAAGGGATTACATATTTAAAAGCCACATTTAATTCAAAGACCTTGTATTTAAAACATTTCCAGCTGTTTTATACATTTTTAAAGCAATAGGAAGATATACAAGCTGTAAGATACAGGCCTTTACATTTCATTTTCCCTAATTTTTTTTTTTTTTTCCTGTTCAAACGCACGGCTACTAGCAGCTTTTATGATGCTTGCTCCAGTACATTGAACGTTCAACTAACCTCCACTCAGGATCATTTTCATTAATGCATAGACTAAAGAAAGAAATAAACATGGACCTGGCCTCGAACGCATAGACTAAAAAATGACATCCCCATCTTTTCTCATTTCGTCTCCTGAGACGTATGTCAAGATGGCAATATAGTTGCTTGGTGGTGGTTGTGAAATTCACAGTGTTTTGCCTACAACACATATACAGATATATATATATATATATATATATATATATATATATATATATGTAATTTTTTTTGCTTTGCTTTGTGTTTGTGATGAATGGAGCAAAAGTATATAAATAAATAAATACATAATTAAATAAATAAAGGTCAAGGAAAAGAAAGGGGGGGAATGCAAAAACTAAGCATATTCAAGAACCTTTGACTTGAGCAGCAGTGATTCATTCCAGCCCTGACAACAAGAAAATGCCCCTTCCTGCACTGTCATTTCTAACTGTAAATCCCTCCCACCCCTCGTTCTTTAGAATAACGTTTGAAATTCATGTACAAGCTACCACAACCTCAGAGGCTCCACATTCCAATTATGCATCATAAAAAATCAGCTGTAACTGCTAACTTAGACATTTGGAGAGTTGGGTCCCTAGCCATTCCTCTCATGAGATTTCCTGTAACAGTGATATATGGCCAAACCAAAGGTCAACATTGAAAATAAAAGTCCTGAAACCAGGGAGGAAAAAGAAAATGGAGAAGCAAGAAAATTGAGGGTACGTGTGTATATGCAGTCATTTATTTAGTTAGATACAACAATGGTATTGGTATTACAGGCTGTCCAATTTGCAAAAAGAAAGATTCAAAGAAAGTCCATTCTTGACCAGGTAATCCTGCAGTCAGGACGCTTTGGAAAGGACAACATTCTATACTGTTAGTTGGTGTATTCACTCTCGGATGTGGGAATTCCTAAGAGTTGCTCATCTCACTGTGGGGTCTTGGACAGCTCATCATTGGCCTTCGAGACACTGGGCTGCCAACATTCCAATTTACATTTGGAATGCTTGAACTCTGAACTCAAGCGTCAAGGGGTCACAGTGGGACAAAGACAAGGTGAGCATAATACAAATGTGCTGAAAGACAAAAAGAAAGCAATGTTCCTTTCCTGGACCTTTACAAAAAGTATCTTCCTTTGCAAGGAGCCAGAGAAAGCACTCAGTGTAGTGGGATGGCTTTTATTCAGTTGTTTTGGGAAGCACATTATCTTAAATATGTCTTCCACCCATGCAGTACTGCACAGAGTTGAAAAGTGTGATGTAGTCCTACCCACATGGAGAACGGAAGCACTAACAGCAACATGACGTTAAACAGTTTTGGTTATTTAGCATATTTTAAGCAAATTATTCATACCTCACCCTACTTATAATTATCTCTATTATTGTGTGCCTATAAATTTATACATAAACAGACAAACACACCATGTATGTGCATTTGTATATGTATAAATCAAGTATTTATAACACATATAAATACATGAAAATATCACAGGTAGTGCTGATGTGAACACATGTATAATATGAATTCTGATATAATCTTTTATAGCATAGTTCAAAGTGTTTTCTAAATAAGCCTGATTATGACATTGGTTCAGTGTACAAGGATTTAGCTGAATTTAGCTGAAGATAAGAGCATGATTACATATCACAATATCTCAGCTGCTTGTCATCTCCTGTATTTCCTTGTGTTCTTCTAACTTCATATACTGCTTCGTGAATGTGTTAGCGTGCTTTCCTTCCTGAACTGCTTGTTTGTATATTAGAGTCTCTAGCGGACAGAACCATGAAGTTCAGAGTGAGAGTACTTGGATTCAGTCCCAGTGGTGCCGGAAGCTAGGCTGGAGACCTCTAGCATGCTTCTGAGGGTCTCTGAGTCTCAATGTCCTCATCTACACAAAATAGAAATAATTGGCTAACACACATGGAAAGTGTTTGGAAAACTATTCAATGACTTCTAAATGGAAATGATTGTCAGACCAGGTTTGGGCTAGAGAATTAGGTTTGTCACTGTTATACTGTAGTTTTCACAACTTTGATGGAAGGCCATATTTGGTGGTCATGACATTTTAGAACGAGGATGCTACTCTTCTAAAAATCAGACCATGAGAAAGGGGGTGGTGGAGGAACAGCAATGAATAATTTCAGATATTCTGTGGCTCATTCAGCTACTTTAAAAGCAATCTGATATTCTTTCAATTTGAGATGTCTCTGAAATCAGCACATACTCTTAAGACAACAGAGATAGTAATAGTAATAATCAGCAATATAAATAACTATAAAACTTTGCACTTGCATAGAACCTTTTATTTCAAGACCTTTAGGGACTTGTCAGAAGGAATAAGTGGAATTTTATTTTATTTTTTGCTTTTTTCTTTCAGAGAAAAAAAAAAAGACAAAACTGGAATGGGATGCTCCCAAAGTCTCATTGGCCTTAAACAAATCTTTGCTCTAAAACTGCACAGCCCTCCTTGAATTTGATCCCTTAAATTATTACCTACTTTGCTGTCTTAAAATAAAATAAATAACTTGTAGCTTCTCCCCTGAGAGCAGCTGGCCAGACATGCAGAATGACAAACCTGTGTTGGTTTTCAGGTCATCGCTGATGGAATCTAGAAAAGTTTTTGTACAAATCTGCCCCTTCCTTACTACGTCACAGAGTTCTACAGTGTTTTAACAGTACCATGGGCCCTTAATATGATACATACATGCACGTATATATCATGGAGATATGGCTTTCATTATGTTATTATATGTATTCTGAAGGGTTGTTGTTTTTTTTTTAATCACCAACAAAGAGAACAAACGACCCAACTCTTATCTCTCATAGGTCAGCATATAACTTCAATGGACATAAGGTTCATCTTGTCATCTCCCTCGCTTGACTGCAGATGCTACTGGATTTCCTTTTGTTCTCTGTTAATTTACACTTTTGAATTTTTGAGAATTGACTTTCCAAGCCTTTAATGAAAAACAAGGTGTTTCAGTAATTAACGGGCACAAGCAAAACCTAAAACAGAGCTATCGCACCTTCAGAAACAAATAAGAAATAACATCACCTAAGATGAATGAAAATCACTCCCTTTCAATCTGGCTCATGTTATAAAGATGTCAAGTTTAGCAAAATTCCCCTCACAGAGGGTAGCAAGTTTTCTTGAGGAACAGAAATATTTTTCTTTCTTGGTATATCTGACCATTCAAATAGCTGTAAATTTCTATTTAAATTTGCGCCCTCTTTTTTGCAAAACCAGTGACTATGCCCAGAAGCACACTTCCAGTGCTTGGTCTGGGCACAGCCTCCCGTTGGCATGCTGTGCCAAATTTTGTATTTTGACGTTTTGAATGGAGTGAAGGAAACAAAGACAGCATACTGACAATGGAGAACACTTGGAATGAAACCACTCTCCCAACCAGAGCCCAGAGCAAGGGACTTGACCTGTGTACACTGAATGTGAGTGCATGTGATGCCCTCAGGGTGAGGTTTCCTTTCCCTTAGGGATTGATTCTGCCCTTCCCACAGTCCTATGGGTTCCACGTGGATGAGGATTTCCAGGCTTCCGGGTCCATATTCATTAAAACCCATCACCACCGTACAACCCAGAGACATTGAAACTCAGCTAATACACTCCATTAGCTTCCCCTAATTGTATAAGTCATACCTTTTTATGGATCTGCTCTACCTATCAGGGGAACGATGTCTGGAGCGGTAGTGTCTGCACACAAGGTATTAATCAACGAAGACCATGCACAATTTTGCTTGCACAGTTAAAAGGACGGGTGGGCATGGAAGTTAGGGGTCGGAGGGAAGTGAGATCTGAAAAGTTCAATGTAAGAGAAACTTGCCTCCGAATTTATAGCTTGTCTTATCTTTTCCAAGTTCTTGGTTTCCCACCTGACCCCGAAATGATCTCTGGACATGAATCCACCTCTTTTCAATTGAAGTTGACAAAGGTTCTGTGGGTAGCACTTGAGAAACAAACCAGTGCTATCATCACAACCTATGAAGACAAAACTGTGTCCGAGCACACTATGCACCATCTTGTGTCTCACGGAAGCCATCTTTGCTCTCTACTGCACGCCGCCATTTCTGGTGATGGGAAAAGAATCATCCATGGCACAGAGGCCAATAGTCTTTTTACTCCTCAGAAAGGTCCTCAGGGGAAGGTGCCGAATACATTCTTCCCAGCTAACAGTTGCTGAGAATTTCCTAAGTAGGGACGGATGCCAGCTGATCCCAATGGTTGTCTTTGTTCCTCCCATAATGCGGTTCATAATAAATCTTCTTTCTCTCTGGTTTTAATCTCCCATAGATAAAGGCTTCACAGATTGAACACAAGTTTTCTTTTTTATACACAGGCTTAAGCCATCCAAAAACAATAAGAACAGTAATAATAATAAATAAATAGAAGTGAATCCATAGAAACTCTCGATGTCTGTACAGCAGAAGTGACAAAGTTTAAGTCAAATATTTGTTTTCCCTTTTTTTCATCCACATCAAAGGCAGGAATACAAGGCATTGTTAGTTGTGGTGGGCAAACTGGAGTGTCTGCTGATATAACAAATTACGTTTGTTAAGGCCTTTGTCTATGCAGAGTTAATAGTAATGCAGAAGCCAGATTGATTAAAAAGAAAGGGTAAGAATTGTGAAGCAGGGAAGACCAAAAAAAAAAAAAAAAAAAAGGAAAAGAAAATTAAAAAAAGAAAAAGGAACAAACCAAGGGAGATGGAAAGAGAGAAAGAGATAATGCCAAAAAGAAGTCAATACTGTGTCTACGGATGAAGAAGTACACACTGCTTCCCTCGAGAGCTTCTCGGAGTCTTTGATGTTAATACTGTCAGAGTGAAGGAGAGCAGCTTGGTGGCCTCCAGCGGCAGTTAAAAGATGTTCATCCTCTCAGCCTGTCTGAGGAGTATGTTGGGAAGGATCGGTCTGGGGAAAAGGGCCCTAGCCTAGAATGTCCAGGTAGACCGGAGATGCCTTGGCCAAGTTCTGAAGGAGGGTATGGATGCCCTTGATGTTCTTCCTCATGTGGGGCTCTCGCTGCCAGCACCCCAGCATCAGCTCATACACCTCCTGGGGGCACGTGCGGGGTCGCTGCAGGACTCGGCCCTGAGTGATACACTCTATCACCTGGACAGAGATCAAAGATAGGATGAGACAGGAGGAAAAGCAACGCACATCAAAGAAATGTTAGCGCAAGAAACAGCAGAAGAGGGGCTTTTACAAAAGAAGCCCACTCTTGGTTTCGTTTTCTCAGAAGGAAGAGAACAATTATTATAGGTTAGTTTATGTTGTGTTTAATTTGATTGGCTTATATCCATTTTTCCAAGCCACTCTGATTTCACAAAACTGGTGGAAAAGTAATTTATATGGAATGCTCCCAAACCTCACACTGGAGCTCCCACATGTTGTGGTTTTTATTGGTCTTAGATGGAACATGAGTCACTTGTGTGTTAAGGCACTGACTGACAGGAAACCTTGCAGGCTATTGGATAAAGGAACTGGATTAAAAAGACAGACGTGGATCTGAAAAAGATGTGGGGTGCCTGACCAAGAAGCTGTGCCTCAAATATAAACATATTTGCAAGAGTAAGAATAGAAAAAACAAAACGTTTGAGTTTTTCACTAGAAGTTAATGTTCTGGTGAAATATTCAAAAGGGAAAGGACCTTGAAACTTCGTTGGAACAATACTAAAGAACTCGCTGGACTGTATGGGTTCTGGAATGCTACATCTGCTATTAATTTATCAGATGAGCTGCATAAAGTGACTCCTCAGTCCCACCACCAGAGGAGCAAGGACATATCAGCGAGTGCTGTGCTTTGCTTTCTCAGAGTGACTATACTTTGACCATGAAATTTAGAAACATAGCAGGCTACTTGGGAAGTGCTGCCGCCAACAAAACCCCATAAGATAACATCCTGACATGGTCTTCCAACCCAAAACAAGGCCCCAGCTGATGGAAGCCTCTGGGATCTCAGCCCTCGGGAGGGTCTTGGCCAGACCCATTGCACACCTCGTTGTTTGACAGCTGGTACCAGGGCTGTTTGCCGTAGGTGAAGATCTCCCACAACACGACCCCCAGGCTCCAGACGTCACTTTCTGTCGTGAATTTCCTGTACATGATGCTCTCTGGAGGCATCCAGCGAATGGGCAGCATCGTGTGGCCACCGACCTGGAGAAAAAGGGATCAACAGGGAGGCATCAGTCACTCCAAAACCAGGTGTGGAAGGAAGATGCTGGGGAACACTGCTTGCTTTCCTTATTTGCACTTTATAGTTTTAATTGTTTATAAACACATAAGGGATATATGATTTCTTCATAGTCTCAAGCAACAGAGACAGAGGGCAAAGAGTGATCCAAATCATTTAAAAATATATTATTTGCAATTCTTTCTCTCAAAACCAGATAAGAGCAGGGATGATGATTAGGTAGATGATCACCTTGGATAAATAAAACTACACACACATACATGAACTTTCTGCTAGGAGGATGACTCAATCTTCTAATTAACAAGATCACTTTGACCAGGAGAACAAACAGGGGCTCTGCATCCAAAATGACCAACCAGTGACTCTACTTCCTTGGCAAGGCTAGAGCCTCCTTCTGCCTTCAGGTCTTATGTGTACATGATGCTGACTCAAACCCCTCCACCATCACTCAGCGATAGGCAGGTCAGGCATTATTATTCTCCTTCTACAGATAAGGCAGTGAGATTCGGATTGCTTACAGACACAAAAACTCAGGTCTTTGGATTCTAAGCTCAGGACTTTCCTCTATTACAGGGCACTGCTCCTTAGATTATTTACCACAATAGATAAATACATTTTTTTTAAATGCCCATTTTAATGAAAACACTGGGACTGGGGCATCAGATAGCAATTGCATTAGTACAGGCAAAGAAAACTTTCTTTGACAAAGTAAAATTGTATATGACTTTCTACTTCATGGAGGAAAGTTAAGAAGCTCATTTCTGGGTTTGTCAGGGATGCCTGACTTCAAACCCATGAACAGATTTCTGCACAGTAGTCCTGTGGCTGGTAAGTTCCGCTTTTCATCCTGGTAACCCCCCAGCACCACCAGGCTACACAGTGTGCCTGACACCAGACAGCAGGTGGGCTTATCCTACAGCAAAAAGTTGGACCTCTGTAACAACTCTGGGTCCTGAGTTTATAGAGTAATGGTGCATAGAGTTTCTGCCCAATTCTAATTCTCAATATCCAGTTAGTATTTATTAAAGGAAGAAAATAAACTAACAGTACCTGAAAAATATTCCCCTACCCCAGAACCCAAGAGGCTGAAGTGTCAGAGATGTCTAACACGCTTGGTGATTCCCAGTGATGTTCTTAGCACCAAAGAAAGCACAAGAGTACAAAAGGAGGAGGGTATTTTATTTCATTCTTCTCTGTATGATGCATCCAAATTTGACAAATAGGGACAAAAACTACTGGCTCAGGTGACCATCTTTACTATTCAGCTTTTAATAAACATAAAGCTCATAAAGGCTAAGTTGGTTTCATTGGTGTTAGATTTCCTCTCTCTTCCATCAGCAGTGACAGGTCATCAGTGTTTAATGGACAGAGACTTCTCTTATGGTCTTACCTCATGTCTGAAGGTGGTGGCAACAGTCACCCTCAGGGTTGATACTCAAACTGCAATCAGTGTAGCACAGACACTGACCAACCAGAAAGGATGTGGGTGGTAAACATGGGTACAGCTACCTCAGCGCATTTCTGTCTTGGTGAATATCTGCCCTATTCATGACTCTGTGACCCCTGGGTACCTAGGACTTTGGGAGAGGGAATCTGCTGATATACACAGAGGACCTGATGTTTCCAGATGCTTGGGAGGACTTGCAGTATGAGGGTAGAATGATCCCACCAGGTCTGGGCAGCCCACATGGCAGTGGCAAGGAGAGGACTGCTTTGGACCATTCAGGGATGCTGCTGCCACCTTGCAGAGCTAGGCAAATGACCGTTTTGTTTATGTGCCAGTAAAGGCTGGGCACTTTGGCACACACATTTTCAAAGATTGTTAACCCCTAGAATAAAGCATCTCTAGTCTCCTTGCCATTCTCTGAAACCATAATTGGAATGTACCATATAGTTTAGAAAACATCTACACACGTCCGGTGCCATTTAATTGTGTGAGCAAACCATAAAGAACTCAGGACTCATGGTGGCTCCTCTAGCCTACAGACGATGAAATTGCTCCTGGCAATTATGGGACCTTGCCTGGGGTGACACTTCCAGCAAGTGGTGCAGATAGGACAGAGGTCTACACATTTTAACAGACCATTTTCATCCACACAGCAAGCATTTTCTGGGGACCTCTTAAGATACAAACATGGCCTTATTCTGCTTACCTAACATGCAAAAAAAAAAAAAAAAAAACAAAAAAGGGTAAGATGAAATCAAAGAGAAAAACAATCCCTTTTGCTATACATCTTATTTTTAACCTTACCGCTCTCATTTTCACCTTCTTCCTACCTTATAAAGAAGAGCTCATATCATCATTGTTCATCTCAGCATACTGCTGTGGTACAACCAGCTCCACTGTGCATTTTGGTGTTGCTGTTCTTTCTCTTTAGATAAAATAGGACCCCAGTGGTCAAAGTGGCTTAGAGAAGTGGGAATCTCATACTAAAGACTGAGACCTGGTCTTGTTATGCTGTCTGAGTTGTGTTGTTTTGTTTTAACATCCAGGAAAGGGAAGTGTCTGCTAATCTCTTAGAAAGGAGTGTAGAACTTACTAAGAGTGGCATTCTTTTGTGGGAAGGAATGAATTACTTCTTGCAAAGAGCCTTCCTGCAAGAGCTATTTAGAAGTGTGAAACCTTGAATTTTACAGAATATTTTAAAGAGAAAAGGCTTAAAAGAGTGGACAAATGCATGGCTCTGAGGGTTTCATCCCAGAGTTACACGGAGTGAGAGGGCCTAGTTCTTAGTGAAAAAGACATAGTTATTTCTTTTATGAAAATATCGACATTAGAATCTAGATTTATAATCAGTCTGTAGTTGGTGCGTGGGAGTAACAAGAGACTGGGATATTATGACCCAGCATGGTGTTCTTTCTGATATCAGTCCCTCAAAATGTTAAAAGCTGGCAATCCCAGAAGTTCCTAGATCAAATGTGTCAAATGTACTATGAATTGCAACCCTCTTCGATTTAAGGAGATCCATCGGGGACTGAGCCTTATTAAAGTATATGAGGAGTCTGGCAGGAAAGAACAAACTTAACTTTGGTAAATTAAACTATTTGAATGTGTGTTTGTGGGAGAGATAACCATTTATATATGTCTCGAACAAGACAGCTAAAAATACACTTAGGGGTGTGTTAATTTAGCAAGATCTCAGGATTTCCATATCTACCTGGACATTCACAGCTGCAATGCAGTGGATGACAATAGCTGGTTTCCAATAGCTCAGTCACCTGTTTCCTACTTGGGTAACCTTGACTAGTTGCCAAACGTCTCTGTGGCCAAGGTGTAATAATTATATATAGGTACCAATGTATACCTCCCAATGTTGTTGGGAGGTATTTACTGGAGCAGGCATTTGTGAAAGTGCTTTCTAAGTCTTAAAGAATTAAATGCTTTTGAGGTGTGGCTTTCTTCTCTGGAACCTTCACTCACTTCCTCCACGAGAAGCAGCCATTCTGGAGACGTTAAGAAGAATCATTATATCTCACTCTCCTAAACTCCCCATTTGGCCATAACCAAGTGGCTCCTTCGACAGCAGCACCTCTTTTTTTTTTTTTTTTTTTTTTTTTTTGTCACTGGCAATGCAAGATAGAAAATCTGATGCTGGTTCTCTCTCCTGCATTGCTAATGGCCAAGAAACAGCTTTTGTTTCCTCTAAAGAAGAGAGAGAGAACAAAAGGTTCACATTTTGATTTACATGTTTTCTCAACTGATCGTTTATTTTCTGCTTGCTGTCTCTTTGGGGCAGATTTTTCACTCTAATTCTTTCAAGAATCCCTTCTGGGATTTCATGCATGCTGTTATAAATAATGCTTTCCTTGTTCAGATGTCAAATGGGTGAGTGGTGGGACAATCTAATAAAAGTTCAGACAGGGTTCACAAGTTTTCTAAGCCTATTTAGAACATTTCTGAACATTTCTTTTGCAACCCTTTCTCAGAATTTTGAAGCATGTCACAAAAGCAGACCCTCCCCCCGCAAAAAAAAAGTCACTGTTGTTACAAATTACTGTCACATTCTAGTTATAGTCACTTGATGGGTTTTGGACCACACAAACAACACATTGCGCAGCAACAAACACAATGAGACATTTGTTTTGTATCGTACTATTTGGCAACTTGCCCTCATGCCCTTGCTTAAATATTTGTGAGATGGAATGTGATCCCAGGAATGACACTGGGAGTCAGAATTCCTACTCTCAGCCTGATATGCCGTGGGGCCTCAGGGACTCTCCAGTAATTAAGTTGAATGGGGTCTCATGGTCTTCACTAAACTCACCAGGTTGATCTGGTGCAAGATGAGAAACCCAGTTATCTAGAGAGTTGACTTGGACTTGCAATTGTTATTTTCCTCAACCCAAGAGACTGGAGTTCTAGTTCTTGTGCTGCTATTAACCAGCTTGAGCAGGTACCCTCAGGTCTGGCTTCTGTCTTTATTAGTAAAATGTGAAGAGTTAGGGCAGCTCTTGGTTACTTCCAGCACAAAAACGCTGTGGTTCCAGAGTCACCCACCACCTCGGCACAACCATAATCATCCATCAACAGTCAGTCTTCACCATTTACAAAGAATTTCTATTCAATTATCCCACTTGAACCCAACGGTTATGCTCTAGAGCAGACATAGACTTGCCTGGATAGTGCAAGTAATGCCCCTAAAAGTCAGTGAGTTTAAGTAGTTTACCTAAAGCCACATACCAAACCTCTCCCCATTGGACAACCTGTATTCATTAGGATGGACCACTCTGCTTTTCTGCTTTCTCCAGTCTCCACACACTCTGTGTTCAGCCAGCAAGTTTAGGTGGCTTCCCATCCAGGGCCAAGTGACTCATGCCTCTTAGAAAGTTTGATCTTCTTCCCTTTCTCCCTACTTCCCAAAGGTCTCCTAAAGGCAAGCTCAAGTCCCACCACTTCAAGAAAAAACTCTCCCTCCCTGCTGCAGTGCAGGGATGGTTCTAGAACTGTTAGTGTAGCTCTGGG